GACGGTCTAGGCTCAGGGAAGTCAGCGACATCCCTAAACCCTAAACCCTAAACCCTTTAAGCCGTAAAACCCCGCCCCACCCATTATTAATCTTCGGATTCTAAATCCTGAACCCACCGGACAGCTTCAGCCTCGAACTTTGAAGTCCATGGTCCAAGCCCCAGGAAGACTTGAAACCCAGGACCTCAACCCTGCCAAAACAACCCAGAACGAGCCACTGTGAGCCTGGCGCCAGGTCATGTCCAGGCAGCTGAATCACACGTTGAAAGTGTCTGCAGACCTGACACTGGATGACTTCATTGTGCCGGTCTCGAAGCGTTTGCTACAAAGAGGTGAAGCTTCGGTGAAGGATGTCGAGCTGGAACCTATCATGGAACGGCCGTTGCTTGTATCAGCACAGGACTCAGTCATTCTTAGTGGTTGACATCGGAACCATTGTTCTGCTATGATTGTCAGTCACTGCATAACACAATTTTCGAACCTGTGCCAGTATCACTTTAAGCAGAGGGTGCCCGAGACTGTCCCGCAAGGAATTCCAAGCTTGTTAACGATCCTGCTAGGTGTCCGACGAGGAAGCCAGCGGCTTCCGAATGCTCAACCTCCTGCAAGCCCTCTACGTTCGGTCGGTGCCAATCCCCGAATCAGCACATCCCAAGTGGAATGATGTGCTGAGAGCTATGTCGAGCTCCAAACTCAAGGGCAGTGCCTTGAAAGCAACCCTACTGGTCAACCACTATGCTGGCCCGTTCCACACGAAAAAGAACAAGTATACGCTACAGGAAGGAGCGGAGCTGTTGTGTCAGACCTGCACCGACGATTGGCTAGAGTCCTTGCAAGAGAGCTACCAGTTCGATGTCGGGGATGCAACAGCAGTTCTCACACGGGACAAGATCTTGGAGGCCCGTGGGGTAAGCTCCAGATTGCCCCGCGAATCCTGGCTCAGACTTTTGGAGATTCTAGCAGTACCACTGCCTTGGTGTTCGTAGCCCTCTAAGTCTCGCTCACATGACCTGCTTAGGCACGAAACAAGGCCTGGTTTGGAATACTGGATTCTTTCAGCCAGCTGTCAGAATCGTGGACGATTTTGTCGAGCATCACAAGCTTCGTGCGGGAGTTCATCAATGCCTCAGAAGAGCGAGCTGAGGCAGTGTCATTAACGTGTCCAGGGTTTGCGGCCCCTACAGTCTAACAGGAGGCTCGGGTGTGTGAGGGTGAACGCTTGCAACACAGTTAGAAGTCGGGCGCAATGGGTCCGTGTCTGTGGTCGACCCATATTGAATTGAACACCTCTCGTTTCTCTATGCGTCCAAACCCCTGCCTCTGAAGCCAGCAACACAGGCAACCCAATCCAGATCCGCCCTATCACAGAACGTAGCCATCAAGCAGCCTCAGCACTCCCTGGACCGTGGTTGACATCGTCGCTCCGCCTTCCCCGCTGTCGTTTGCGTTTCCAAGCATCAGCATATTGCAAGCATCCACCGCAAGCTCATTGTACATCTGAAACCCGGCCCCCAGCTCAAAGCCCTGAATCCACATGCAATGAGTCCTCGACCCGTTGAATCGATAAACTGGGCTGGCAAGCCACCCCTAATCCTACAGTCCTAGAACCTGCAAACTAGGTTCAGGCAGATGGAGGCGGTCACGGCGACGCCGAGGCAGACGAGGCTGAGGAGGACGACGTTCCTGCGGCAGAGGACGATGAACCGCAAACACGCGCAGCGTTCAACATTCTTCGCGGCAGCTACAATTCGGATTGTGACTTCGTGACAGAACTCTTCGAGCAGCCCCTGTTGCAGCAGCGTCTCCGGCTCCTGTGCTACGACCTCCAAGACCTGCACAAAGAGCACGTCCAGGACCTCAAGGCGTGCTCTCAGGAAGCCACGATGAAGGCTTGCGCAGGTCGTGCAGCATACAGTTGGTTCGGCACTATCCGAAATATGCTGCAACGATTGACTGGTGATGGTTTGGTGGAAGAGCTAGGTCTCTTTCCCGCACCTCCTCCTTACGGGCTGCCTAGAAACCCGGAGGATCCCAACATTCAGGATGATGTTTCGCTTGCGGAGACACACTACAACTTCATCCTCGACTTGTGCGCCAATCGTTGCTGGAGTCAGTCCTTCTATGGCCTTTGCTTCCCGTACCTGGTGGCGACGGTGTTCTGTGAGACGGAGCGTGACCGAAACAAAGGAACCGCGCTCATGAGATCCGTCTGTAATGCTACGCTGAAACTGGAGGACTATGTGGCGGCCAACCCGCTCAATTCCTCTGCAGCAGCCTTGCTGGAAAGCCATGGAACGAGTTCGTGGCCACTGGTGCGCGAGCTATTCGTCTCAGGCACCCGCTGCGACTGGAGCTGCGAGGACGAGGACCTGCGAAGCACGGCATGGGCCATCTTCTCCGGTCCAATGACAACCAAGGCTACGCTAGAGTCTGCGTTCAATCATATCCGAGACAGGGGCCAGCGGCACAGCCGCAATGACAAGATGAGCCAGGAAGTTCGCTACTCTTACCTGGCAACGCAACCGTTTGCCAGATCGGAAAGTGGCGGGGTCAATCAGGTCAAGGCATCTGTTGATGACTTTCTGCCCGTTGGCTCCAGTCGGGCCGCCCAGCAAGCCATTCACGCGTTGAAGTGCTTCAACCCCAGAGCAACTCGGATGCCGCACACCTACCCACACCCGCAAGATATAGTCAAGAACTGGCGTCCCGCAGGATTTTACGCAAACAAGGTAGCCTGTGCCGCGGTTGCACTTACTCTCGCCGCCTCCCGGAACAACTTCGAAGGCATCCAGACGGCCTGGGCAGGATCGCTCTGGGGCCCTTCAGGGCCAGCGTTTTCAGTTATTAACCATTAACTTAATGGTCAATATAGTAGTTGGTGCGTAGGACTGCAGAAACCCTAAACCCTGAACCCGCAACCCGTGTATACAGACTTCCGCACTACGTCACTATGGGAGATACATTGTTTTACTTGTAAGATCTGTACGAACAGGTTGCTTCATGACAAGACGCGAAGTCTTCTTCAACAAGAGCTCCCAGCAGTACGTCGTCTCATTGGGCTTCTATCGATGGGCTTTTCAGTCAATTCGATTGCAGAAGCTTCATTCAGATTCCACGGGTGAGGCGGGGTGCGGAGGCTGAAACCCAAGTTCAATCAAAAAACGCTGCTAGTCACTGCGCTTCCGGAGCTTGTGGCCTAGGCCTTTTTTTTTCCACCCGAAATCTGATCACGGACACTCCTCCGCAAACTATACAACTACTCCCTCTAGGTGTGGTTGCGGCCAGACACATCCCAGTTGGCTCCGAAGTTCAATATTGCCACAAGTCTGGATCCGGATAGCAGCCCCTGGGAGTACGTGCCAACGCGGCCACTGCCGGCCTGTTGTGTGCCTGCCGATCTGGGCGCCCACGCAGGGTGCTTGCTCAAAGTGACTGGTCCCCACGAGAGCCTGATCACCGCAGGGCTCAAGAGAGGCTTCAATCTGACCGTGTTTCAATTGAAAGCTCTCATAACAGCATTTTCAGTCGTGCTTCCCGGGGCTGGGACGGGGAGTGGGAAGGGTGGCCGCTTCATCAAGTGTGACTATGTGAAGGCCGTTTTGGCGCACTTCCTACCAGGGCAAAGCCAGGAGGAGCGCGATGCTCTGATTGCGAAGATGGTCGGCAGAAGAAACCAAGACCGGGAGGACGACACTCCCGAAACCCACCTGAAGCTGCTGTCCAAGCTGGATCCGGCTGAAGCAGCAGAGTTTGATGTAATGCGGCAGGTGGCTGTCAATCAGTTAGCTGAAAAAGCACTGCGCGCAAAGGTACACAAACCCCCTAAGAAGGACAAGGACAAGGACCCTGATGATGAGGCCGAGCCAGAACATCCAGCAGACGCCCCAGTGGCACCTCCGGGCGGTCCCGCAGCTGGAAAAGCAGCTGCTCCAGTGCAGTTCCTGCCCAGGACCAGCGGTACCCACGTCAGGGCACCCGCTGAATTCCGCGAGTTGCTCCCGCCCAACGTCGACTACGTTTACTTCCACTGGGAACCCCAAAGCCGGCGAGTTGCCATTGAGTTTAAACGCAGCTCAGAGATCAAATTGTCCCCGCTGTACGACTGTCTTGCTTCTGACTGCCCCTCTTGGTCCCCTGAACAACGA